AAAATACTTCTTTCACTTGTCTAGAGGAAAACACTGCTCACTTTCTAGAGATTTTCAGAGGTTAATAATCAATACCTGCTATGTATCTGACTTTTTTTTGTTGTTAATTTATAGTATTAGTATTAGTGTTTGTATTATACCAACAAGTCAGTGCTAAAAGAACATGCACTGTTGCCAGCTTTTACTGAATAGTATATACTGGACATGTTGCTCATCATAGTATGATTCACCAGTTTAGCTCACAGTTGTGTATCATCAGAATATGAACATTCTTGAAACTTTGAAAATGTTATATTGCATTTGATAGTGGTCAAAATCCAAAGCTTCCCAAACTGACAAAGAATGAAGGTATTTTTATGATCATCTTCCTACTGAGGACCACATCAAAGAGAGTAAGTTCTTTAAGCCAGCTGCTTCCTATTCAGCATTAAGTATCTAAATGTTAGGGGCTAATCTAGTCATCGTAGCTTTCTTCTAGGTTACTTGAGAGACACAAGCACCTCCAGAAGATAATTCATCTGACTTATCTTAGAACAAAATTAATTGGTTTCTGGAATTGAACAATTCTCAATACTAAAAAGACAGTCAAGACCTTGGGCTAGTTATCTCACTCTAGAGTCCTAACCCAAGCAAAGTCCAGTAAATTCCACTCCATATATTTTAATCAGAACTTAGTGCTTAGTATTAAAACTATGCCTCGTTCCACAGGCAGTTCTACCAAATCAAGCTAAAAGCTTGAAGACAAGGTACCATTTCATTACTGCACAGTGGTTCAAAGATGCACCAGGGAAGGTTTAGATTGAACGTAAGGAAGCTTTTCTTTACTGAAAGGATGGTCAAACATTGGAACAGGCTTCCTAGAGAGGTGGCCAATACCCCAAGCTTGTCAGTTGTTGAAGAGGCACTCGGACAATGCCCCTATTGACATGCCTTAATTTGGTTAGCCCTGAATTGGTCAGGTAGTTGGATTAGATGATCACTGTAGGTTCCTTTCAACTGAAATAGTCTATTCTACACTATATTTCTCTTATGAAAAATACAAATGTGTATTTCTCTACATCTTCATAAAATATCAGCCCAGAGCCACTTTCCCACTGCCAGGAGCAAGAACACACTTCTTTAGTCATGCTGCATCTCCAGGATCTCAATATGAGACCTGGGATACGGCACTTTACCTTGTTCATGGGTTTTGTTTCTGCAGGAAAGACACACAGGTTTATGGGCTGCCTAGGAGCCATGATATTGTCCAAGCTAGTCCCAGGGTGGATGCCTGGGGAACTGGGACTGCAGGAGGCATTGCAACATGCACTTTCATACAGTTTACATGCTGCTTCTGGTGCTCATATGTAAAGTCTGCCTCTATTATAAAGATAATGGGCAAAGTAATGTTCTTAAAAATACAAGTAAAGCCTGGCATCTGGATCAGCCCTTAGAAAACCCCTATCCACAGAGAGACCTCTGGTGTGGAATACACCCCATAACTAAGAGAAATATTAAATTATTTCTCCTCAGCTCTTACCTGGCTGCAAAATATCCAGTCTTTGTAAAGGACTCCTTTGTTTAACAAACTCATAGCATTTTTTAAATGTCATTTTCAGTTTTATACATAAGACTGCTATATTTTGTAGTTTTCAACTGATGGGAAAATTTCTTTGTTTAAGTAGACGTTTTCCTATATTGAAGGAAAAGAAAGGAAACACAACCAGGAGAGCTTTTTGAATTAAAATAATTATGTTAGAAAGACACTGGAAGAAGAAAGAGTATTTCAAATGTAAAAAAAAAAATGGATTTTCCCCTTTTTTGAAACACTTTTCTAATCCTTTAAAGAAGGCAATGTGACAAAAATTTTGTGTTTATTTATCAAAATATGAACTCAAAAAAATTTCTGGTTTAGCTAAGTTGTCATTGGCTTTTTTCCTGTCCCTTCCTGCAGGCTACATAGACCAAAGTAGTCAACTCTAAACGAGCATAAGTTAACTCAGTACTCAGCTTATTCATACACACTTTCTCCCTGTATTCAGTCCTTTTCTGGGGTTAACTCTTAACATCAGCCTTTTCCCACTAACATGCAAACAAATTAAGATAATAATACCTGTCTTTTCATTCTGAAGAAAATTTCCAAATGAGTTTTCTTAACATCTGAATTCTAGTATTTCTAACTCATTATTCATGTAAGACCTTATTAGATCACTATAGCTGAACAAAATGCAAAACCTTAAGCTGACCATATTTTTAAAAATCCCTCAGTTTTCCCCCATTATTCATTTGGCCTTTTTGCCTAATATCATAAGTATTAGGAAGTTGGTATCATCATTTTTTACAATACTATGATTAAATATGCTAAGAGAGGTGGACAAGTAAAATACTTTCTTCCTCCACTAGTTTTATCTCTAACATAAAGCTTAACTATTAACAACTCAAGATGCGGAAATATAAGTGCTGCTTTTGAAGTTGGTATCCCATAAAAGAGTAGCTAGTATTTCAGCGGTCAATTGGGTTAGGTTTTTCGCACATGAAGGAGGCTAACTTAGAAAATGTTTGGAAGTGAATATAGACTTTTATTTTGGCTTTTCAGGAAAGTCTTCACAAGGCTTTTCCGTAATCCACTTAAATCACCCAAGCTGCTCAGTTCTCTTTGTTTCTTTATAATCACATATGGTTTATTTCATTTTACAGTGAGAAACTTATTATTCATGATTTCTTAATACTGACTGACTGTAGAGTTATTTTTATTATTCTCATAAAAGAAAAAAAAAAAAGAAAAAAAAGGAGATTTTGAAACCACAGAGCACTTTAGAATCTTTTCTTTATATATAGACTTCAGGGAGCAGAAAGAGGAGCTAAAAAAATATTGTAGTCACTACATATTAGGGAAAGTTACTTGCCTTTCGATAATAGGCTACTCTCTTAGCATAAAGAACTACTTGCATTTCCAATAGCAATGTATATTTTTCTGCCTATCAGAAAGATGTTTGCTAAAATCACAGCTCCCTGAATCTGGAAAGACAGAGACCTTCATTCACCTGTCACCTGGTTTCAATGACTTAGACCAACTTTAAATCAGAAATTTGAATTCAAGTTTGCTATTGTCTCAAAACAACCTTGTAGATATGTGGAAAATGAAGGAAGAAAGGGCACAGCATACCATATCCGGACAAACCAGAAAGCAGAACAAATAGTGGGGCATTTAAGGTGACCTTTTAGTGGTGCTAGGTCTGTAAGCAGGTTATGGTAGCCATTATACTGAATCACTGTTTATGATGGCAAATATAAAAAAAGGACTGGCTTTTTCAAAGCATCACTTTTGAAGAGGTATGAAATGAATCCTAAGGATTGCCCCCACCATGGAGGACAAGAAAATTCCGCTTCAAAGAACTAGTCCTACAAATCTACAAAAGAGGCATAAGCCCTTGAGGACAACACCTTTGGTCTTCTGTAGATTCCTAACAACGGACAAAACTTCACAACCTCAACAAATGCAGAAAAACCCATATTCTGACAAATTGTTGAGAAGAATCAAGGCATCAAGGCATTTCTAATTCATTTGGTGACCTCTTTTTTTTCTGCAGAAATGTAATCCAGACCCACATGTTTACTTACCTCTTGTTAAACACTCTCAATAAATATAAAATGGCATGTATTCTGTAACACTAATATTGGTTAGTGTTTGACAAATTTTAAAACACACACAATTCTTTTTCTATTCCTATTCCTATTATTAAATTCTATCTAGTTCCTTCTTGTTATATTATACATGCAGACACATTTTACATGTATATAATCAGTTTTGCACTGGCCTATACAAAGTTAAGTGTGGGCAGCATTCCAGCAAGGTTATGTTCAGAAGAAACATATTTGAAAGTGGATTCAGGAAAGGGATTGTGTAACAAACATTTAGAAAGTGTCCTTCCTTCAAAGAATGTCAAAATGTTTTAGAGACTTATACATACAGAAACTGAGACATATGGAGCTCTCTGTGGAACAGAAGGAATACAATTCCATCAGTGCACGCTACATATCACTACAGTCAATGTATACCAGAAATTTAGTGTTTATGAAAGGAAGATTTCAATGAAATGACACAGACACTCAAACACTTGCACACAGTAAACACCATGCTAGCAAATTATGGCCTGACACTGCAAACAAGTACTAAATACTTAAAAGAAAAACCAGACATGAGTGTGTGTGGTGGCATGTAGAGGTGAAGCTGTTTATACTTAAACACATGCACGTGTGTCTTCTGAGAGCATTTTAATCTTTTGTATGTTGATGAAGAACTGTGATACAATGCTGTAGATTTAGGAAGTTTTTGTGTTTATAGCTTATCTGAAGAATTTGTTTTTCTTCTATTTCTCTTAGCCACTAAAAAGCAGAGATGACAGCATGTATACTTTGTTGTCAAGCATTGTATGTGATGAATGTTAGATGTATTGCTGTTAATGTAATTTTGAATCAATAATATAAGAAGTGTCAAATGGAGGAAAAGAGCTCACTGAAACTCTGTCAAAATTTCTTGGTAAATCCCAGTCATACAAGATGATAAGAACCGAAAGATCATACTGTAATGACACATCAAATGCTTACCATACTCAGCAGTTTTTATGTAGAAACATGGTATTCCATGTTATTGATAAAAATGTACTTGTTTGCTATCCTGTAAATGAAGGGCTTAGCAAGGTATACAGACTTTGAGCAAGTTTCAGAAAGAAATACATATTAGGTTATAATACATTTGATGATTACTTTTAGTTCAAGGGATCAACTCTACTATCCTCAGTGCTTACCTGAGAAGGTCTGGCACACTGCTTACTATGTTCAGGTAATCGAAAAGTATGCTGAGAATAGTGTGCAGGACCAGGAAGTCCAATCCCAGTATGACTCTCTTCCCATGCTTCTTCAGTCTTCTCAGCTCAGGTCTTCAATGTGCACCCAATTTCTGTGCACCATTTTTTTTTTATATACTTGTTGGCAACATGTCAGGTTGGTATCATACCTACCCTAGTTGTTTTCACTTTATTCCCAGAGGAACAGCTCCACCCCTTACGATCTGGAAGAACTTTACATTCCTCCCCTTCAAGACATGGTTGCATGTGGCACCACCATTTCTGCTCCACGATTGAAGCTACAAGAAAGGAAAACAAACATATTTGCATGTTGTTGAAATGGACACTTCATTATGTTATTATGTTGCAATATTTATTTTCCAGAAAAATATTAGAAATATGTTCACTGACAGCTAGTCTGTGATTTTCAGCCACCTCAGAACCTTAATAAGAAATTAAGTTTCAATTCGCAAAACGTGCTATGTGCTTCAAAGGCAACCTCTTCACAGCATTTCATTCCAACCTCATTTGTTCTTGCTCAGCCAGATTTCGAAGTGATAAGTAGAATCTCTTCTTTTGCCTGGTCTACTATACAGTCTAGCACAGTCTGATTAACTTTATTCCCCAGCGATGACATATTTACAGCTTCTCTGACAGCCAACAACATATCAACAGTAAAAGAGATAATGTAAAGGGTGAATCCTGCTACTCTTTCAGAGAAAGCAATGTGAAAAATCAACTCGTATTTTCCCAAATAAAACATATGAACTTATACTACAATTAAGTAAGACATTAATATTGCACTGTGAATAGGAATAATAGCGTTGGTCTAAAAAGACTAAAAACTGGACAGAATTGCATTCTGTTTCTTTGCTTTTTTTTTTCATGTATGATAAATATATAAATCAGATATAAGACTGTAGCACATGAAAATTATATGCTCGTGTCAATTTTGCATAAATACTTTCAATTAAGTGGATTTCATACAACTCCAAGGGTCCTCTCTTGGATCAAATTTAGCCCCTCAAGTGGTCTCTTTCACTGTCATCTAATAAATTTGTTTAGCATTTCTGCAGGGCAATAGCAAATAACTAATTCTTCCCATCTTCCTTCTGTTCACCTTGGAGATCACCTTCAAAATGCAGAAGCTGTCCTACTCTTATTTTAAATAGGTAACCGTAATGGAGTGGGTCTCACTGATGATGTTAAGCCAGCAAAAACTTCAAGGAACACAAAGGAAGCAATAGAAGTAGTCGCACCATCAACACAAGAAGGAGCTGCCCGGGTGGTACCCGCTACCTGCCCAGGGAAGCAGGAGCACTTCACCGTCTGTGATCTTTCTTCTATCTTGTTCTTATTGCAACATCTGTGAAGTGCCACCACTTCACAGGTCCCAGTTTTAACATGGTGAGCTGTGAAAAGAAAAAGATGAGCAATTTGATAACTTTGCAAGGTAGCATCATACTGTTTGGTTTGGTTTTTTTTTAATTTTGTTCTGTAAGGCAATCTGTCATGCATGAAACAAGAATTACAATGATATTAATACTAGAATATAAAGTTGATTTCTTTTGTAAAAGTAGTATAACTATCTCAGGCAGAAAACACTAGCTAAAGAAGAATGGTTGGACAAGGCTGCATAGAGGACTGCTCCAGTGAAGTGGGAAGCAGAAACACAAAACTAGCCTAGAAACTATATTAATTTCTGGACTTCCATCAACAGCTGTGTATCTCTACCAATATTTTTTTTCTTTTTCTCCAAGGGAGAAACTTTGACGTGAAAGTGTATCAATGCTAAAATAACCATACATGCATATGTTTTCGGAATCTATGTCTCCAGGCTTTGTGTCCTGAACAGATAGTCTTTGATACGGTATTCCAAAACCTTCCTACAAGTGCACAGAGAACAACTGGCAGGATACAGGGACAGCCCTAAAACAAAATCCAGAAATAATATCTGCTAAGAAATCACATTTTAAATCTTTCCACCTGGTGCTGCAAAGTAAATCTGGGAACATGGGGAACCAAATTTTTCAAACAAGGGAGACAACGTGACAATTTTCTTTATTCGATATATGTACCTATCACTCCCATTCAATCTACTGTAACTGATCACCAGAATCATGCTACTGGAGTCCTATGAGAGGACCAATTTGGTAAGAGGAGAACTGCCAAACTACCCTTTCTGGTTCAGCAGCCAGTTACCAAAGGACTTGGTTTTCAGAAAAAGTAATTTTATCTGAACTTTCAGTGGTTACTGATATAAGACCAGATATTTGTGGGGATAGTTCATTCCCATCAGAAGGAAGAGAGAAAGAAATATGAACTTTTAGCTGACCTACAACTTTTTATGGGGAGGAATACAAACTATTTAAAGCAATGTGTTTTAACAGTACCTCCAAATCCTGTATTTCTACTTCTGTTTAACTTTTTGTATATTCTATGCAAAGCATATGTACTGAATGCTTCAGCTACCTTTTATATCCCTAGTGTCAAACAATAAATGAGAGCTTCCATGAGGAGAAAATCCTGCTAACAGCCTTTCAGGAGCCCAGCACTGATCCCTGGATCCACTCAGTTGTTATTGCACAGTGTCAGCTACTAAAAGGCCTGAGAAAGGAAAACAAACTTAATGTAGGCTATGGACCCCAAGAATGTTCCTAGAGGCAAAAGCCACAGACAACAATTAGACTCGGTGTCTTCATCAACAAAACATAAACTACTAAACATCTCATTCAGGGACTTATGCATTTTTCAGTATAACAAATTCCAATGAACCGTCTGTGGTCTTTCTTGTCACTCAATGCATTGTACTGTGTCAGGTTTGATTATACTCCACCACATCATGCTGTGCTACATCTGAAAAGATATAACACGATGCAAACAATTAACCCACAATCCATCATATTTTGATATGCTAAAATGTTACATTTACATCAGAAATCTAGGAGGAAAGAAAATATTTTTATGCACAAAAACTGCTTTTCTTCAACTTCTAAGTATAATTTTTAATTCAACAGAGAATAAGGAAAACAATTCATATTGTCTGTCTGAAATTTTCAACCTGTGGTATTTTCATACCATTGATGATGAGCAAAATATTTTTACAGCTTGTAGCACAGGTTGCTGCAAAAATTACTTTTAATTATTTTCCAAACCATTCTACCGGTATACATGCCAAAAAAGCAATTTAAATAAACTATTTTTCCTCAGTAAAACACTTAGAAGGTTTTTTATCTGTGAATAGGGAAAAAAATTATTCTATGATATATTGGGAACGTATAATATATAGTAGAACACATGCTGCTTTTGTAAGTTCACACTAATTTTTATTTTGATAGGCAATTACACATCTTATACCCACTCATGCTAACACAAATTCACTACTTTGTATTTTAGGAAAGGTACATAAAAAAACCCAGACACTGAATCTACAAGAGGAAGTAGATTTAGTCGTAGGATGAGAACTTCGTATCACTTATTTTTCACTATATTTTTTTTATTTATATTCTTTGTATCACTAACCCTGAAATTTTGTCTCCTCACTCTCTTATTGTATAGCTTTACACTGCTCTACTAGGTCTACAGAAATGCCATAATATAACCACTAGAAGAAAATGAAGTACAATGTATGCCAATAGTCATTGGGAACGGAAGCCAGTTGAAAAAGCTGTTGTAAAATTCTGTGAGAGAAATGTTAATACTGGAACAAAAGTTTTGAAAGCCTCCTTTTCAATAATTAGGAGGAGAAAATCAGGCATTGTAATACTTCTATGGAAAAAGAGTGTAATTAAATTAAACAGTCACTTACATTCAGGTACAATACAGAAAAGCATTTCAAAAAGTGAAAAGTTACATGAAAAATGGAACAGAACAAAAAATAATGATATACTATTGATAGTATTTGGGGAATCTTTAATAAAGCTACTTTGACATTTTCTGGGTATAAAACCAAAACATCCTAGAAAAGTATACAAAGATACTTCAAACACTGAAAAATCTAGGCCAACCATTCTTTAGTTTCTATACCATCTAGAGTATGCAATGAATATTCTTTGAGAGGACATGTAGGGATTTCAGCTCCTTATGCTTATCAAATCATTGAGTTCCAGTGCCGTAAGTACAGTATCTGTCATATTCATGTGAAATTAAGCTTCTATACAGCAGATAAAGTATTTCCCACAACTTAATACAAATTAACCTCATCAAGCCACTGAACCATTCCACAAAAGGAAGATAGTACTTTGGGAGATTCACATTTTGGTTTTGTTTCTTTTTCTCCTAGCACAGACTTCAAAGCATGCTGCTTGTTTTGCAGAAATTTTTTGAGGAACCAAATGCCATTTCTAGAAGCCTGTAGAAATTAGTTATTCAAAACTAAGTGCAAACACTTAGTCCTGCATTCCCTGTTAATGCAAGTTGTCCTTCCTGCAATCACTGTGAAGGACTGAAGAAAGAGACTCAGAGATCATTATGTGCAAAATTTTCCTGATGATTGTATATAACATACGTATAGATTATATTCCAGAGGATGTAACACTGTATTACGAGAGTGGGACTTGGGAAACAGGCACGACCATTTCTCACTCATTAATTACATATTCTGTAATTAATCTGTCACTTTTAAAGCTTTTTTCATGTAGCAAAATCATCAATAGCTATCTCATATATCAGTATGATATTCGTATGCCAAAAACTTAAGTGGTCATTATCATGTTTCTGGAAAAAGTAAAGCTAAGCGATTATTGTTCAGCATTTTACACAAAACTGTTTCTTCATGGTAGCTTTAAATTTCTTTCCATCAGGTAAATAAAATTTCAGTCACATTTGCACAGCACATCTGGCACTAAGTTACAGCCCTTACTCCTCTATTTCTTTGGGAAGATTGCTCCGGGTAAGAAGGGAAGTTAGTATTCAAGATTATTATTTTGCAACTCACAAATATGAATGTAAGGTATTTAGTGTAGGTGCAGTGTTATATAGAAACCTAGCATTAAATCAAGAAAAGTCTTCTGAATACTATTGTTCCTTATGATCACCATTTCATAGGCTCAACACTTAATCCTTGATGTTCAATTCTGACACCCATCAGGCTCTTCAGAGGGACCTGGACAAGCAGGAGAGATGGTCTGATTCCAACGGGATGAGGTTCAACAAGGTCGGGTCCTGCACTTTGGCCACAACAACCCCCTGCAGTGCTACAGGCTGGGGACAGAGTGGCTGGAGAGCAGTCAGGCAGAAAGGGACCTGGGAGTTTGGATTGACAGGAAGCTGAACATGAGCCAGCAGTGTGCCCAGGTGGCCAAGAAGGCCAATGGCAACCTGGCCTGGATCAGGAACAGTGTGGCCAGTAGGACCAGGGAAGTGATTCTTCCCCTGTACTCAATGCTGGTGAGGCCACACCTGGAGTGCTGTGTCCAGTTCTGGGCCCCTCAGTTCAGGAAAGATATTGAGGTGCTGGAGCAGGTCCAGAGAAGAGCAACAAGGCTGGTGAAGGGACTTGAGCACAAGTCCTATGAGGAGAGGCTGAGGGAGCTGGGGTTGTTTAGCCTGGAGAAGAGGAGGCTCAGGGAGACCTCATCACTACTTTCTACAACCCCCTGAAAGGAGGTTGTAGCCAGGTGGGGGTCAGTCTCTTCTCCCAGGCAACCAGCAGTAGGACAAGAGGGCACGATCTTAAGCTGTGCCAGGGGAAGTTAGGCTGGATATTAGGAAGAAATTTTTTAGAGAGAATAATCAGGCATTGGAATGGGCTGCCCAGGGAAGTGGTGGATTCTCCGTCCCTGGAGGTTTTTAAGATGAGACTGGATGTGGCACTTTGTGCCATGGTCTAGTAACCGCAGTGGTGTTGGATCAAGGGTTGGACTTGATGATCTCAGAGCTCTTTTCTAACCCGGTTGATTCTATCATTCTATGATTCTATCTGCTTGGCCTTTTGAATCTTTTCTTTCCTGAAAGTTGCACAGGTCATGCATTAACACATACACTGCTCATTAACAAGGAGGAAGAAATCATATTGCCATGGACTAGGTGAAATAAAGTTACAGGCTGTTTCTGTGCTCAGGTTCCCCATCATTACAGTAACCACATACAGACAGTGAAAAAAAAAAATCTAAAAGGCTCTATTATCAAAGACACTGGCACAGCTTGTGATACATCTAAACCCATCTAATGACTAACAGCTACTGGAAGAAAAAGAAGATCCCTTGTCTCTTGTCCTGGACTCTTTCATCCCTTGCTTGCACGAGCATTGTCTTTTGATAGTGAAGATGGTAAGTCAAGGATTTAGACTGGCAGGAAAACATCCCCTTTTTTGCAGGGTTAGTTCTCTACCAGTTTAACTCCTACAACTGGGTGCAGAGACCAGTGAGAAGCAGCTTCAGCCACAGGGAAGCAGAAGGAGTGGGCAGCCACA